AAAAAAAAAAAAAAGAAGTTAAATGAAATTAGAAAAGGAAAAAAGAAAAAAATAAGAAGAAAACGAGAAAAAAGAAAAGGAGAAAAGAAAAAAGGAGAAAAGAAAAAAAAAAGAAAAAAAGAAGAAAAGAAGCATAAAAATAAAAAAGAATTGGAGAATAAAGAAAAAATTTCCCAAAAAACTACTATGGATAGGAAATGTAATTAGTTTATGGGTAAAAAAATAAATGGATAGATAAAAATAGTTTTGTTTTTGTGGTTAACTGTGTCAAAACCCCAATTTAATTTAATATTTAAAAAAAAAATATTTTCCATTCACCAACCAAACAATATATTTAATAGAACATAAAATATTTTTGATGGTAAATGTTTCTGTCATAGCAAACGCCGAAGAAGAAAAAAATTCTTAAAAAAAAAAAGAAAATTTTTGAGCTCTACTTGTTTTAACACTCCAGGTGACGAGCCTAACACGTGCTCTAAAAAAGCGGCAGACAGGAAAAGTCCATTTAGCCGTTGCATAAACCTTAACGCCCAACAACCTAAAATAAATTTCCCCCGTCGTTTCCAATCTCCGTCTATTCTTTTCTACCTCTGCAATTCTTCGCCATCATCGCAATTATCGCCGAGTTTTGGCGACAAAAAATGTCGCAAACCCTAGTTTCCCCTTTGATGCGCGTTGTACAGACAACACACACCTCAATTGCGAACCCAATATGGCCGAATCATCATCAGCCACCATCTACTTTTCCGGTCATCTCCCACCGGCAACTTCCGGTTAAGCGTTTACTGTCATCGACCAGTAAATTGAGGAGCTTTTCAGCTCGTGCATTTGATCTCAAAGGTGGCCAAGGGTGAGTTAGTTTTTTAAATTACAGTAGCTTCAGAATTGAGGTTTTCAATTTGCTCGTTGACATAGTCAAATTTTTCCCATTGATATGAGCTTAGATTTTGCTCTTGCTTTGCAGAATGAGTGAATTCCATGAAATTGAACTCAAAGTCCGGGACTATGAATTGGATCAGTATGGTGTTGTAAACAATGCTATTTATGCAAGTTATTGCCAACATTGTAAGGTTTTCTGTTTCGATCTGCACTTAAGTGCATTACTCCTAGGATATTAAATCTGTGCTATCATTCATCAGACAAAGATTATACCTGTGCTTTTTCTTTAATGGACAAGGAAAATTTTGATATTAGTTGAAATTAATGGAAAATGATCTTTTATATCTGTTCTATGTTACTTTTTGTGACCGTATAGTTAGCTCATCTGTTAGCATTGATTATGGAATTTGTTTTCTCTCTCAATAACTTGAGATTATGTTATCTAAAATTTGAATAATGAATATGATTTGCTTTGCTCCGCCTATTAGTAAAATATTGTTGAATCCCAAAATCGAAGGGAATTTTGTGGTTAATAACTGTTTGAATATTATGCTTTACACATACTGTACTTAAGGATAACAGACTATATGCACTTTGTATGTGAACTTAAGAAAAATCGTCTCTATAAGCACTTGATTGCCGCAACTGTTATTTGCCAGAATTTTGCTCAGTTGTAAATTATATCTCATTTCGAAAAGGAGGTCAGTTTAATTAATCTTATGATATGTCTATTCAAAATGTTGTGACGTAATAGTCATGGATCTTTACTTGTGATGCTTAACCAAGGTTTATCACAAATTCAAGTCTTTCCAATGTAATAAGAACTATTATGCGTGCTGTGTCTGTACTGATTGAGAATCTTACTTAACCAATATAAATTTTATGGTTTTACCATAAATTTATATCACATGTTGCTAGTTCCTCCACTGTTGTTGGTTACTCTTTGCTTTGCTCCACTAACCCTTTTCCTTTTCGTGGGAAAAATGACGCGGGAAAACGGGAAGTGCAAACTCAAATTTTTGATCAAAGTATATTGTCAAGATCATTACTTCTAAGGATTTAGCATAACTCTTTATCTTTGTCAAAATCATTACTTTAAAGGAATTAAACTAGCTCAATAAGAAAAGTGATTTAAACTAACAGCTGAAGAGAGTTTCTTATGGTAAATTCCAATGTTGGGGCTAGTGTATGTAATAACCCATGACAAGAGTGGGTTGCGCTAGTGGTGAGCACCCTCCACTTCCAACCAAGAGGTTGTGAGTTCGAGTCACCCCAAGAGCAAGGTGGGGAGTTCTTGGAGGGAGGGATGCCGAGGGTCTATTGGAAATAGCCTCTCTACCCCAGGGTAGGGGTAAGGTCTGCGTACACACTACCCTCCCCAGATCCCACTGGTGGGATTATACTGGGTTATTGTTGTTGTATGTAATAACCCAAATTTTTTTATATACTTATTAATTATGGGATTGGATAATTGATTTTATTTATAATTATTGGGTGAAACACTAAGTTAGTGGACGAAAATTTATTATAATATATAAGATTGTGTATTAAATAAGTGGCAAGTGGACCAATTACATATTACAAATTGAGAATTAGAAGTAACTTTAGTTATTATTTAAAATGTTAACGAGTGGCCTTAACCCCATCTCCCTTGAGGTTTGAAGAATTAATTTTCTTCCCACATGTTTAGTCAGAGGATCGGCCAAATTTATATCTGACTTCACATAGTAGATGGAAATTATTCCATCTTTTAACAATTGTTGTATGCCATCATGTCTCAATTTCATGTATCTACTTTTTCAATTATAACATTTATTCTTTGCAATAGCTATCGCCGCTTGTCAATCACAATGCATATAGACACAGGAGGCAATACGTCCTTTATTAAAGGAATATTATCTAAGAAGTTTCTTAGCCACTCAGCCTCTGAACCAGCTAACTCCATAGCTACAAACTCTGATTCCATAGTCGATCTAGCAATGATCGTCTGTTTAGCTGATTTCCACAATATTGCGCCACCACCAAGGGTGAATACATACCACTAATGGATTTTGTCTCATCTGAATCAGAGATCCAATTTGCATCACTCTACCCTTCTAAAGTAGAAAGAAATCCACTGTATAGGATACTGTAATTCATGGTTCCTCTCAAGTATTTCATTAGACTAGCTATTGCAGACCAATGCACTAAGCTAGTGCTGCATATCTACATTGTGTGGTACAAAACCTCAGCTTCCTCAGTACTATCTACTGAGAAAACTGAGGAATTCTATCATTTTTATTACATCATTTCTACACCAAAACAAAATGAGAAAAGATACAAATTTAAGCTTGTAAGTGAGTTCTGATTTGCTCAGGAAAACTCTCTATTCCTGTGTATCCATAGCCCTACCAGATGCAAACTGGTACTATGTCACATATTCTTGTCTGTTGCAACTTCTTTTGCTGTCCTATAATAGAGTAGCTTCTTCACTATTCTTGGCATTCTCCAATGCATGTTAAAGATGCTTAGGAGTGCCACAGCTGTGAGGCCATTGAGCAGTGTAGAAACAGATAATTTGCGTCTTATGCCTCCTCGTAGCTGAGTTAATGTCTTCCAGGAAACATCATTCCCCTATTATGCAATTTGTGTTAAGTTAGGACTGCATCATGTGCAAGATCCAGCTGAACCATGCTGCAGTTTCTTGGGCATTGGTTTTCCTTGCTTTCCTTGCTTTCCTTCATGGCCAAAAGGATTGTGCTGTCCCTGTAGCCACTAGGACCTCATAACTGGACTTTACAGAGAAGTTCCCTGTGTCACGTGGGGTCATTTAGAGAATCTGGTTCATTTGACAGTTGTTGTAGCTCTCCCAACTCTTATAACTAGTCACTCTTTCCAGCTCCTCATCCACGATAGGGAAAGTAGTCATTAACTACAACTAATCAAGGAAGGAGGAGTAGCAGTTGTTATCAATTACAAAATTAGTCTTTTCCTCTTCCCTTTTTCTATGGATACTAAAGTCATTCTGTTTTAAATTTGTTGTTATTCTGTATATGGGGACCTACCTTCCGACCTCGGATATCACATAATGCTGGATATGAAATACTCCGTATCAAAGACTTCTCAATGACAATTTTTTTAAATAACTTTCCTTATGGTTATGACTTATTTTCAATAAATGAAACAGGTCGGCATGAGCTTCTAGAAAGGCTTGGCGTAAGTGCTGATGCAGTGGCACGCAATGGTGATGCAATAGCACTAACAGAGCTGTCACTTAAGTATCTAGCACCTCTAAGGGTATGACCCTCATCTACACATCATTAAAAACTAAAAAATATGCACCCAGAAATTTTAGACCTTGGGTAACATGTCCCAAATTTAAATTTTGTGGCATAAACACTGTTTATAAATCTGAAAAGTAGAACTATGGATACATCTGCAAATGAGGGAAGCTTGAAAGGTTCAAATTCAAGTGTGACAAGTTTGATTAGCATAGTTATGTAAGGTTAATGTCAAATGGATGATGATTTCGGCTAAATGAAGCTTTTGCAGCTGATTATAATGTAATACCGGCTTCATCCCAAATTACTTGGGACAATGTCTTTGTTTGTCTCTAATTACTCGACTCCTCTTTGATGGAAAACTTTTACTTTACCTTGAATTGAAGTCATTATAAACTAATATTACTTTAGATTCTGTTGATCTTTATTTGACATACTTACAATTGATTATTCTACAATTTTACATTAAACTATTATCTTACATAATTATCATCTGGCTCTAAGTTAACAGTCTATTCAAATATTTTCACTTGTGTTCTATACTATTATTTCTCATGTTGCATTAATTTCCCAAGAGCCTTAGGCTTCAAACTTGCCTGTGGCAATCTTGGATTATAAATATATTTAAATGCACCGCTGGGCTGTGTTAAAATACGAGTCTGCCGAAAAGACTTCTGCAAGCCAACAACTGCCTCTAGTATTTCTTTTGAAGCACACCATCAAACATTTGCAGCTGCTTACTTGGTGATGCTACTGCCAATCTATTCATCCCTTGCTTATCTTGACCTGCTAAAATAATCTTCTCTTCGAATTCAAAAGTTTTTGACTTCTACTCCAAATGTTATCGGAAGAATGGGAGGAAGAAGAGATAACCGAAGCGGAGTACTTTTGACATTTGGGTAGACGCATAGTGGTACTGCATCTAAGTATCTACCTAGTCATGGACTGGCATTCTATCTGATTGGGAACTTTGTCCAGTTAATTGAAACAGCTTCTCTACCTCCTCCAAGGTAGGGTAAGATTTGTGTACACACTACCTTCTCAGATCCCGATTACACTGGGTATGTTGTTGATGTTGTCCTGTTAATGGTTCCTGTATCTGTTAGTGTTGGAAACTGAATATGAATCTTTAGATAAAGAATATTACCGTACTACTTCAAATGTGACTTCAACTGGGAAAATAGAACTGCTTAGTCTCTGTATGACTTCAAATGTGAACAAGACTGCTTAAAATTTGTGTTATGTTATCCCGTCTTTTATCATTTGTTTCATTGCTGGTTCAGAGTGGAGACAGATTCGTTGTGAAGGTGAGAATATCAGACTCTTCAGCTGTTCGTTTGTTCTTCGAACACTTCATCTTCAAGCTTCCGGATCAAGAGGTCAGTTGGCTCTATTATCATACAACTACCTACTGATGAATAATTGAAGGTAAAAAAAGCAAAGCAATTGTACACTTCTCATTCTTAATGTATCTTGTTAATTTTCCCAGCCTATATTGGAGGCAACAGGAACAGCAGTGTGGCTTAATAAAAATTACCGTCCTGTCCGAATTCCTTCAGAGTTCAGATCAAAATTTGTTCAGTTCCTTCGCCAGGAGGCATCTAAATAATGTGCTTATCTACAAAATCCAGAGAGTTTTTTCACTCAGATTTTTCAAGGTGCAAATTTGCTCTAATTTATATACTGGCCTTAAATATTTTGCAATGTGTATATTCCTTTTCTCTTCTATTTTAATTAATCTGAAGTTCTCATTGTCTATAGAGGACTCTTGTAATGTTGTCAACCGACCAATTATTATTTTTTAGTTGTGAATTAAACTGCTTTAGGATGAGATGTTTGCTCAAATGGTCAATATTTTTTGTAATATAAGGATGGAATGTTTACTCAAGATCACCAACATTCTGGTGTAACATTCTTGTTTTTCAACTCCCTTTGTTCTAATTTTTAGTTTCCCATTTTGACTTTGATGATCAAATTGACCCATAACAAGTCAAAGCTAAGAAAATAACAATTAAGGACATACTATGAGCTTTCGTTGAAAAAGAACAAATAGACTAAGAATAATTATTTGGTCAAAGAATATGATTCTTGACTTTTAAAATGAAATTTGGAACAGTTAAATTGGAACAGACGACAGAGAAACCTGTGGAACAAATATCAATACTTCTGGAAAACCCTGTGGAACGCGATATACATATTTAGATTCCAGAAGGGCGACAACATACTTGGAAGGAAGTGGTTGACTATTTGTTACCCAATATTAAAACTCATATAACATAACAAAATAAAATATTCTATCGAAATTATATTCTAGACAAATAACATACTAGTAATATTCACGTGTAGTCATACTCACTACTGTCAGAAGTCAAATTATAGTGTCTTTCACATGTTACATGTTACATGTTACTTCCCCTTTTATACATGATATAATCCCGTAGCCTTGGAACAACGGTAAAATTATTTCCGTGTGATATATAGGTTTTCGAGGCGTAGAATCTACTTGCATCATGGTAGACATTAGAATCATTAGCGGCGGCGAAGCAAGGATTTTTACTAAGGAGTGTAAAAATTTAAGAAATTAAATACACTGAAGAATTAGTGGGAGTCAACGTATAGTAAATATACATAAAATAAAAAAAAATTACCTAACAATACAGTGTAAATTTCTAGCGAAGGGGTGTCATTGACACCCTTGATTGAATGTGGCTCCGCCACTGGTCATTAGGGTGCGGCCCTTCCCCGAAACCTGCCTAAATACGAAATGATTTGTGTACGGGTTACCTTATTTTTATACAATCTCCTTCTGCTTTCTCCCTTTTCTCCAAAATATTTTCTCTGTTTGAGGATTGGAGTCTTTTTATTTCTACCAGAACACATAACTTTTCTACAGCAATATTAAACGATTAACTTAGAGACAAAGTTACCAACTATAATTCATTAAAATTTTCTGATATGTGAAGAAATTTTACACTGCATATAATAAAAGTTAGTAATTCCTTCTTTATTGAGTTTCTGCCTTGCACGTGCATATGTCTGGGAAGAGGGTGAAAAAATTGGACATTTCACATGCATGTAAGGAAAGAGCTCTATGTTTTCCTTTTTTCTAATATTTTTCCATTGACAAATTATCAAAATATATGTTTTTCCTCCTTTTTTTCGATTTGAGTTATTCTTCAAAGGGATTTTTACCTTTCTATATTACATATGAAACTTTATTACCCTCCTTAATCAAGTTTTAACTTAATTATATAGCCATATACAATTTACCAATTATATACAAATTAGTTTTAAATGAGTATCCCTTTTATATTAGGAATTGAATAAGGAATAAGTTATTTCTCATTTCTGTTCTCTCTCCTGCTCTCTCTCTCTCTCTCTCTCTCTCTCTCTCTCTCTCTCTCTCTCATTCTCTGTTCTTTTCCCAATTTCTCTTCCTTTGATGTTCTTTACTTTTTATCCTTTCATGTTGTATATATTTTTAATGGAATTCATCAACGGATTTCAATCGTTTTACTATAGAGTTTTAACTTAGCAATTTCCTTTCATGTTGCACAATTATTGTTCAAATAAAATTGTCAATCAATAAATTTTGAAGGTGTTNATAAGGTGATGAAATACAAAAATCTATACAATATTCCAAAAATCTAAACAAAAAAGGAACTTTTTCAATGGGTATAGTTGAAATTCATTGAAAATATATAGATAAGTCAATATATAAAATCTGAGTAAGATTGGAGGTAATTTGGACTGGTTTTGCATCAAAATTCGTAATTAAATCGAGTTCAAAAAAGTCTTCTGCGACACATGTATCAAACATGTATCACGCATGTATCTCACACACAAGTATACATAAATATACATGTGATACACAATTGATACAAATATGATACATATGTGATACACAAATGATACACAGTGTGATACACATATCATTTTTTTTCATGTTCAGCTATTACTTCGAATATTCAATTCAAACCACCTCAAAACTTCACCAAATCATCCCAAAACTGAGATTCAAGCTCCTTAAGTTGTGCCCAATCTATTCTAATAACACCCACTCAAAACAAAGTAAAAATTTGATATTTTTTTGCTACAAATAGCTAATTGGCTAATTTGGCTAATATTAGTAATATTTTATCAATTGGCCAATTTTTATAATGAGCTACTTATAAATGGACATAGCTGGTAATTTCCCTTAAAAAAATTAGACATCAGTTGGTTGGACTTGTCAATCATTAAAAACTGATCGGCCCAGTTATAGAGTATTAGGCCGGTATTGTCTACCGAGCCCATTAATTGGCTGACTCAAGTTTTATGGTAAAAGTTAGCACGGGCTAGCCAGTTTTCGGACTGATCATTCAAAAATAACCAACGTTTGCAAAATTATTGAAAAATAGCCATTATTTTGCTGCAACACGGAAAGTTCCAGCATAATATACTGGAGATCGATGCACCTGTGCATGAACTTCCAGCATATTATGTTGGAACTCCAACACGCGGAAAGTTCCAGTATAATATACTGGAGATTGGAGCACCGGTACTCCAATCTCCAGTATATTATGCCGGACCGATATATTATACTGCAAATCCAGTATATTATACTAGAGTTCCACTATATTATACTGGAGTATATTTTCGGATTTTGAACAGTGTTTTCGTTCAGATTTATCTTTACATGAAAAGTGGCTAAATTTCGATTACTTTTGAAATTGTGGCTATTTTTGAATGACAACTTGTAAATCTTCCCAGTTTTATGGGCTCCTTTCTCATAGCGCCCCTTAGGGCACTAGTACCTGGAACCTCCAAGTTGTTTACACAATGGATTAACTTTATTATCCTTCCTAATCAAGTTTTAACTTAATTACACGGTCATATACAATTTACTAACTATATACATATTAGTTTTAAATGATTATCTATTTATATTAGGAATTGAATAAGGAATCAGCTATTTCTCATCCCTGTTCTCTTTCTCTTGCTCTCTCTCTCTCTCTCTCTCTCTCTCTCTCTCTCATTCTCTGTTCTTTTCCCAATTTCTCTTCCTTTGATGTTCTTTACTTTTTATCCTTTCATGTTGTATATATTTTTAATGGAATTCATCAACGGATTTCAATCGTTTTACTATAGAGTTTTAACTTAGCAATTTCCTTTCATGTTGCACAATTATTGTTCAAATAAAATTGTCAATCAATAAATTTTGAAGGTGTTTGACTCTCCACCATTGACAACCATTAAAAAGCTTTGAAGCTTTGAATTCGAATTTGGGTTTTCAAAAACCATTACTTATTTGTTTGGAATGGGTGTTGTTGCAAATAACTGGGAGCTGTTTAGAGTTTATATCTCAATTTTGAGGGTGTTTGGTGAAGACTAGACTTGATTTTGGCTGAATTTCAGATTGAAACTCGAAGAAGAAGAAATTGTACTTACGAAATTGTACTAAAGGTGTATTATAATTGTATGTAAATTGTTTTTAAGTTGTATTCTGTTGTAGTTATATATATTTTTCATTTGAATGTTATATGAAAGTTGAAAAATAGTTATATAATGTATGAATCGTTGTATAAAATTTGTATTTAAGTTATAAATACTATTTTTTACATATGTATCAAAATTATATTAAAAGAGGAAATTTTGATTGAAATTTCAGAGAGAAAGAAGAATACACTACATATAAAATATATATAAATCTTTTATAGGATACATACAGAAGATATATTATATCAAATTCGAATGAAAATTGTATTTAAATTGTAGGAAGAAGGTCCAAAATTGCCCCTCTACTATACTATATTGTTTACTTCTGCCGCCCGTTATACTATTCGTCCAAACAGTGTTCTTCCTAAAAAGCCAGAGCGGATACCTTTCTTATATACTATACGCAATTTTCTATTTTCGGATTAACTTAACTAGCTCCTACCGTTAATCAACTTTTAAAAATTGCCCCTAACCCTACCAGATCTACACCGTGGCAGCTGACCCCTCAATTTTTTCCATGTCAGTTGTCAAGTCACTCGGCTTTATATATATACTAGTGTTAGGGTACGCACAGTTGCGCGTGTATCTCGTTCTCAATTAGTGATATATTAAAAACTATGTTTTGTGTATAAAATAAAAGGTTTAAACATTAAATTAATAAATATAATATCTATTGTTCAAGTTGAGGGAGAATTTGATGTTTAAAGCAAATTTGGAGGTGTAAACAACTTTCACTGCTTCTTGAAAAGTTATCTTTTCTCTTTTATTTAGTTTAGAATTTTAGCAATTGAAGAACCTTCGATACCTTCTTGAAACAGTTGTTTTCCCATTTTTTATGATAGGAATTTTAGGATTTTATTTTTTACTTTTTGTGCAAGTGTTAAAGTCAGTTTGTGCATATCTCGATTAATTTTATGGGATGCTTGTTATTTACGTAACATGTACCATGTAAATTTGTCTATCAAGGCTTGGACATATGAGAAGAAATAATATATGTGTTAGATGTTTTAGCATGTAGATCACTTTTTATTCTTCGTATGTATATTTATAATAGACAATTATAAATGCACTTCGTATATTTATTTTTATTTAAAGTATAAATTGCTAAACATTTGGAGGACAATTTGAGAAAATTGAATGACCGGGGGAATTATATTCTCAAGTTGGTGTACACGCATAAAACATAAGAATCCTAAGGCGTACAGTTTGGTTCCAAAAAGGAAGAGGACTTAGGTGTGTAATTTATTTATTTTTTCAGTTCGATAAGCTGCAACAAAGTTTTCAAAATATTCTCTAAGCAAAGATACATACGGTTTCCTTCTTACACATTTTGAATGAATTATAGTTGAATTCAAATTCCTAATTATTATTCTAGGAAAAAGAATGAAAAGAACTCCTAAATATTAGGAAAATAATTAAATATTTAGTCTTA